TAAACCGCTTAGAGAGGGCTGAGAGCTCTATGAAGCGGTATATAAGTCTAACTGCTATTGCTATTGCTAACTGCACCGAGATTCATTTATCAACAGTGGCAAGAAAGATCGTAAAAGAGGGCCATACTCACTTAAAAACAGCTGCCTCACTTAACATAAGTTGTGGATTCCATTGTGGTCGTAAGTCGAAGACTGGCTCTGTTTATTTGGCGGGAGGAGGCCTGGCTGAACTCAGTGGGATTTACTCTCAAGTAAATATACATTTCCAGAGTTTAAGGTTGCATATAAATTTGATAAATTCAGGTAGTCCTGGACTTATAACAAACAGTTCGTGTTGTGACCATTCAAAGTTATGACGCTGAAAAAAAGTGACTAATGGCTGTTTTTTACACTTACAGCATCCCTGTGGTCACATGATCAAAAGTCAGACGCTTGGCAACTGTCTTGTGTATTTACGAATGTTGCCGTGTCCTGGGGTCACGTGATCCTCTTTTGTGACCTTTTGAGAAGGGGGGGAGCCAGATTCACTTAACTAACTTAACCACTGCAGAATTCATTTTAACAACCGCAGCAAGGAAAAGTCACAAAGGGGGGCAAAGTTCACTTAACAACCGTCTTGCTTTTGCAACAGAAGTTTTGGGCAAGGTCTGGTGGACCGAATCCCTCGGTGAAATCTGCTCACAGCTGAGCGTGAGCCACCAATGCGGCTCTTCTGAAAGAAGCATCTCCTTGTCTCATTTCAGGAGACCCTCCCTGGCTTCAAATCGATCGGCAGCAGGGTGAAAGATCTGGTGGACAGCGGCAAAGAAGTCCTTTTTGCCTTCGAAGAATCCATTGGTAAGCATGGGAAGCCTTGGCCGGATGTGGCGTCTTCCTCATCCAGAGGAAATACCATATTTTTCTGAGTATAAGTTTAGTTTCCTTTAGTTTCCTTTATTATAAGACATACCTTTTCCCTCCAACAAGAGGTTGAAAATCTGGGTGCGTCTTATACATAGAAAACAGCATTTTTTTGCCTCATGAAGCCCCGCCCCTTCACCAAAATGGCCGTGCATACCCTTATGGAAGCTTTCAGAGAGCTGCTGGGGGCTGGGGAGGGCAGAAATGAGCAAAAAATGGGCCATTCCCCCGCCCCCCAGCAGCACTCTATAGGCCTCTGTAAGGCTATGCACTCTCTCTCTCTCTCTCCCCCTCCCTCCCTCCCTCCCTCTATTTACGTACCTACCTACTCTCTCTCCCTACCTACTTACTGTTTCTCTCTCTCTCTATCCCTCTACCTACCTACCTACTCTCTCTCTCTCCCCCTACCTACTGTATTTCTCTCTCTACCTACTTACCTACCTACCTACTCTCTCTTCCTCCCTACCTACCTACTNATACATACATACTGAAATCACATCGGCTGCCTAAGGAACAAAACCAGACATGCTTTATGGCTCAGTGCAGGTGGAATCAGTACAACTATTGTTCCAGGTCTTCATTTGTCAAACATTTCTTTGTTCGTTAAGTTCTATTTCTGCACTTACACATTCTTTGTTGAATACGGTACACCTTGTTCTGATTATTCTTAATCTCATTTCCAATACTAACATGCCGGAATTTGCTGTGAACACGTCTTGGACCCATTTCTACCTTTAATACAACAGTGCTTGTTTTCATTAAGCTCTCCAAATTCTTAGTGATCCTTTATGAGTTGTTAGCTGTCCTTTGTTGCATTAGACAAGTGTCAAGAGCCCTCCTAGCCGTTGCTATAAAGTAACTTCTTAACATTTGTTCCAGAATGGTTGTGTTCATACAGTTTCTTAAACTAGATCACATGATGTTGGTGCACAACATGGTTAACTTTAACCCTGTTTGTTGTTTAAGAGCTCGCTTGAGAAATTGCCATCTGTGGCTCCAGAAAATGGCTTAATTTAGAACAGGTGGTCCTCAACACACAACCACCTTTTCAAAATTACAGTGGCACTGAAAAAAATGATTTACAACTGCCACCCAAGCTCATGTGATCAAAATTTGGCCCTTGACAACTCTGTCACATGCTTGCAGCACACAAACCCAATGAAAGCTGAATTTGCTTAACAACCGTGTGAGTCACTTAATGCCTGCAGTGATTCCCTTAACAATCGTGGCAGAAAAAGTCATAAATCGGGCGCAGCTCACTTAACCGCCTTGTTAACACCTTAACAATGGAAATTCAGGCACAAATTCTGGTCTTAAGTCGAGGACCACCCCGTAACCTGATTAAGCCTTTAATCTTGTCTCATTTTTCCCCTTCAGTGGCCGCTGGAAAGTCTTCACCGGCAACGAGCTGGCTGCCTTGTTTGGCTGGTGGATGTTCAAATGTTGGAAGGAAAATTGCCCCAAGGAAGCCGACGTGAAGAAAGTTTACATGTTGGCCACCACTGTCTCCTCCAAAATCCTGCGGGCCATCGCTCTCAAGGAAGGGTTTAATTTTGAAGTGAGTGCTGTGCGAAGGCCTCCTTTTGGTGCCATGCTCCAGGTGGTCTGGGGCCTCCAGGAGGAAGTCTTGAGATGTTCTGAGGAGGAGGAGGATCACTCAGTCCTGATCGCTTCCCATCCTTACGAACACAGGTTTCCTCCCACGCTGGTTCCAAGCAGAGGCTTTTTTCAAGCATCTTTTTTTGGGGTGGGTGCCTGGAGAATGTCTGCCTGTGAGCAAGCACTGGCCACATGTGCTATGAGCAAGTGTCCTCACAGCTGCCATGGATTGTGGCCCTCAAGCCCCAGAGGTTTCTGACACAGGTTCAGTTTGTGTGCAGATAGGTAGTCCTCAACTTTCAACTGTTTGCTTAATGACTGTTCAAAGTCACAGCGGCACTGAAAAGAGTGTCTGACTGTTTTTCACCCATGGTCACATGATCAGAGGGTTGGCAACTGGCTCATATTTATGACAGTTGCTGTTTCCTTTTGCGACCTTCTGACAAACGAAGTCAATGGGGAAGC